CCCCCCCCCCCTTTTCCCCTGCGGGCCTAGGTGCGGGCCTCCGCCCCGGCGGTGCGAGTGACCCTCGTGAGCAGGCGAGCACCATCTCTCCCCACATCTCCCAATATCTCCCCATCTCTACCCATATCTCCCCATCTCTCCCCATCCCTCCCCTCGTGAGCAGGCGAGCAGCCCTGCAAGAGCCCCCCTCGCCCGCCCTCGCCCTCGCCCTCACCGACACCCCCCCCCTCCCCCCCAGCCTCGAGCGGCAGCCCGTCTCGTACTTGCTGCGCGTCAAGATGCCGCAGGAAGCCGAGGCGCTCCTGCGCGCGATCAGCAGCCACATACCGGCGGCTGACGGCGCAAGGGGAGAGGCGTGAGAGAGAGAGCGGGCCAATTACCGCACCTCCGGCCCTCTGCCTGGAGGCTGCCTGGCGTATCTGGCGCACTCCTCGCCTCTCCATCCCTCCCTCTCCCCCTCCCTCTCCCTCTCCCTCTCCCTCTCCCTCTCCCTCTCCCTCTCCCTCTCCCTCTCCCTCTCCCTCTCCCTCTCCCTCTCCCTCTCCCTCTCCCCCTCCCTCTCCCTCTCCCTCTCCCTCTCCCTCTCCCTCTCCCTCTCCCTCTCCCTCTCCTTCTGCGTGCAGGCAGGCCGCCGCGTGCCGCGTGCCAACCTAGGCTACCTTAGTCCCAGTGGGGGAGCGAAGCCGATCCCGCCGCTCCGTACGCAATCTCTCGGGTTCTCGGTTCAAAACGGTCCGGTCAGTGACTGACACGTGACACTGTCACGTGTCAGCGTGTCTCTCTAGCGCGCGGAAGCCCGGCGGGTCTCCGCGCAAAGAGGGCGACTTTTTTGTGCACTGAGATTAACCTTCACCACGTCTCAGCGCGCCCTCTCTTCGTCCGGCCCGCGCGCAACCCTAAGCGTTGGCGCCGGCCGCCTCTCCGCTCGTCTCCGGCTGAGCAGTTCACAACTCCACTGTCGCCGCACACTCCCACCCTCCACGGCGCTGGCGTGCGCAACCGGCCGTGCCCCGCTCAGCGGAGCGTCTCCTTCTGCATGTGGTTCTGGATCGCACGCTGCTGCGAGACGGCACCAACCACGTGCCGCTGCTCCAAAGGAGCGCCCTCGCCGCCGAGGTTCTTCAGCATTCCCGAGCGCTCCGCCCTGCGCATCTCTGCCTCTGCGCGCGCCTCCATATTCTTCGGCATACCACCAATGTGCGCCTGACTTTCACGCTCTTCCTTCAAGGGCTTGCCTCTCCCGGAGAGCTTTGCGAGCGTGCCGCGGCGCACTGCCTCCGCCTCGACGCGGTCAGCAATCGTCATTGGAAGCACGTCGTCAACGATCCGCGCGGTGGAGGAGAGGAGCCGACGAGCTTGGTGGCGAAGCAGCATATACACACGTGTATGATGGCCCAGAGGGGGTCTTCGCGAGAAAAAAAGAAAAACATAGGATAAGACATTGCGAGAAAAAAGAAAACGGGGAGGCAAAACGTTCTGGCCGCTCCGCCGCCACGCTGTTAACGGCCACACGAGCGCCACGCAGTCAAACCCGCAGCACAAGGGAGGGATGGGAGGACGGCACGCCCCCCTGCAAGTCTATAAAATAAATAAAACGGGCACGCCAAACGAGGGGTGGGAGAAGGACAGGGTCCCCACCTGCACGAGCAGGATCTTGTAAGGACGATCAGGGACACAGGGGAACGGGAGCGGGGAGCGCATCGCGACACGGAGGGGGGCTGGGCACAGCGCGACTGACATGCGCTGGGCCTGCAGCGACAGCCACGACCGCGTCGACCAGCTCGCCTCGTCCTCGTGCTGCCGCTTCGAGAGCTTGTTGCGCACCTTGTCCTTCATCTGGTAGAACAGCCGCTTGACCGCGTTGCACCACCCGCCGAAGGTTTCGAACAGGTACATCTGCACGTCGGTGTCCGAGCGCGAGAGGGCGTGCGCGTAGTCCGCCTTCTTGTACGCCACATAGCCGCCGCCGTCGCTCGGCCTGAAGTCGCCGTCCCCGACAGCGCCGCGCTGCTCGAGGCCGAAGACGTCCGCGCTCGTGCCGGGCTCGGTGTTGCCGAGGCCGACGAAAGCGCCTCGCTGGCCGACGTCCTCCGGGTTGGAGGAGAGCGTGTCCTTGAACTTGACGTCGCCGACGAGGCGTGAGCGCGAGCGGCCGGCGCCCGCCACCGAGACGTTAGAGTAGCCGAGGTGGTCCCGCGGCTCCACCTCGACGAGCATGCCCCACACGCTCCGCATGACCTTGAGAAAAACGTTGCGCTTGCGAGAAAAAAGAAAATGCGCGGACAAACATTCTGGCCGCTCCGCCGCCACGCTGTTAACGGCCACACGAGCGCCACGCAGTCTATCGATGCCCAACCACCAGTGCGTGCGATGGACGGCGCTCTCGCTCATGCTAGTCCAGAACTCGGCCTTTGTGCTGGTGATGCGGCATTCGCGCAAGCAGCAGCAATCCCAGGCGGCGCAGTACAACGTAGCTGTGGTCGTCGTGCTGCAGGAGCTCTTCAAGCTCCTCTTCTGTGTGGGCGTCACCGGAGCGCAGAGCCGCTCGCTCGGCGCGGCGTTGCACTCGCTCCGCTCCTCGCCCGCCGCGCTGGCCCGCATAGCCTTGCCGGCGGCGTGCTTCACTCTGCAGAACAACGTGCTCTACGTCGCCCTCTCCAACCTCCACCCGCTGGTCTTCCAGATCAGCTACCAGCTCAAGACGCTGCTCACGGCCGCGCTGTCGGCCCTCCTGCTCCGCAAGTCATTCTCGCGGCAGCAGTGGCTCTCGCAGGTCCTCCTCGCTGCCGGAGTCGTGCTGACGCAGGTGTGTGGCCGGGGGAAGCTCTGTCCCACAGCACGCATACACATATGCACCCGCAGAGTGGCGCTGGCCGCTCGCCGCCGTCTCGCAGCCGAAGCACGCCCTGCTCTCTGCGGCGCAGGTGTCGGAGGGGCAGCCGCACGACGAGGGCGCGCACGAGGCGCGCAGTGCTCCGCTCGGGCTGGCGGCCGTGCTGGTGCGGAGATATGGGAGACATGGGGAGATATGGGGAGATCGGGCTGGCGGCCGTGCTGGTGCGGAGATATGGGACATGGGGAGATCGGGCTGGCGGCCGTGCTGGTGCGGAGATATGGGAGACATGGGGAGATCGGGCTGGCGGCCGTGCTGGTGCGGAGATATGGGGAGATATGGGGAGATATGGGGAGATATGGGGAGATCCTCACCGGGCTGGCGGCCGTCCTGGTGCGGAGAGAGAGAGAGAGAGAGAGAGAGAGAGAGAGAGAGAGAGAGAGAGAGAGAGAGAGAGAGAGAGAGAGAGAGAGAGAGAGAGAGAGAGAGAGAGAGAGAGAGAGAGAGAGAGAGAGAGAGAGCGCCCTCGTGCCGCGGGGCTCAGGTTGCCGCCTCCTCCTCCGCGTTCGCGTCGGTCTACTTCGAGCGGATACTCAAGGAACCGGCCGCGGCAGAGACTGTGACAGACTCGCATTGTGTTGCCGTGATGAGACTGTTCTTCTACTCCAGGACCGGCCACGGGATGCTGACGGCGGGCGCGCCGAGAACTCGCTGTGGAGGCGCCTGTGCCCTCTCCCTCTACCCTCTCCCTCTCACCCTCTCACCCCCTCACCCTCTCACCCTCTCACCCACACCCTAACACAAAGA